AGCAACAGTTGAAATGGTATTGACATGAAGAAGAGCTAAGGATAGATAAGACATCTTTCACTCACTGGGCAAATATTGGATGTCTACCGAAGAATTGAAACAGATGTGCAGAGTAGAAAGTTTTCTTTATCACTTCGGTTAAACGTTGCGATAAAATCCTCACAGGAGTATATCCGCAGAATTGTAAATGTAATAATAGAGGCTTTTTCTTCTCTGTTTTCAGTTCATGTTTATGACTATTGTAGCCTATGTTAGCTTTAGTGTACTTCTCTGGATATCCGTTCTCTCTTAAAATATCCCGGATGACCTGGAGTTCTTTCTTTACACAATCTTCCAAACCATTGAACCTTGTTCTAAGTGTTAAGCACCTGATCAGTTTACGTTTGTATTTCATCGGTACGAAGCTAAAGAAATGTGTATACTGAGCTTTGGTATCTAGCTTCCTAAATATGGTTTTTTTGACGGAATCATCCTCTCTTCTTGTTAGTAGGACGTCGAACATGTGCAGAGAGTCGTTGTATTCGTCGTCTTAGGTGAAATGGACCACTGAGTGAGCGTTATTGAAGTTGCTCAAAATCAATTCACTACGTAAACCTTCGTAATACACTACAAAAGCATCATTCTTTTGACAACAATACATTTCCATTTTTTCTATTTCATCTTTCAACAGACTATCTCATGGTTTTGCTGGAAATATGTTTGTGAAAATAGGTATTAGGTACCAGCCACTCACCTGACACCTTTAAATAACCTTGAACTCACTTGTCAATTTTTCCTACCCTACATTCTACGAATCCATGACTAATCACCACCATTGTCTCCCATTTCAAAATATTTTGTAACCGATTTCAGTCTAGCACGTTTGTCACACAAATACTATTTATTCTGACACCCCATAACTATCCTGTTATTCTACGTAAAATGTGTATCCACCGCATAACTGGCCATTATTGTAACGCCAAAAAATATTCTATTTTATAATTGTGAGAATCTGAAGAGAAACTATTGAAAAGAATGTTCTTCATTCAGACTGACTCCTTATTCATTATATGGAAATATTTCACACTATTAAATCTTATAATTACGTTTGTACAGCTTATGAAAATGAATTGTCTAAAAGAAAGTTTCCTTCGCTTTTTACACTTTTTTCTTGGGACTCAATATGGGAGTATTTCGTTCACATCAATTTTCAGATGAAGAATATGAAACACACTATTTGTTACTTACATCACACACAGTGTTGCAACTTGGATGTTCAACTTTGAATTCCGCTTTTAGAGACATTTAACCATTTGCGAAAGATTAGAGACAGCACTGAAAGAAGTACCTTGTTCAGTAATTACTGAAAAATTTAATTTATTATAGCTGTAAATTCTGTTCTCTGTTGACATACAAGTGATGAAAACACTAGTCGTACTGTCTTATACACTATTTCCGCTTATAAATAGTCATGATTCACGAACATGCATCTCACATAAATAAGTCGATATATCGTGAAGTAAATGATTTGTTATTTCTCCATCGAAATGCATGCACCATATCATAGTTTCACTCTTGTGATTTATTTCATGCGTGTACTTATTAGCTACCCAATACTCTTCTCAGAAGTCATAGTCGATTATAAATTCATGGAAGGTGGTCAGCTGATTGATGAAGTTTGTTCATATTCACTCAATAAATATGCTGAAGTGATGATTAACAGCAGTATGCATTCAAGTTCAAGACTGGATTCAGATTATGAATATCGCAAGAGAAACAGTTATTGTTCTAGTTACCAAAGAAGGCCTAGAACTCCTTGAAGTTTACATTAACTATATGGAACTCCCCGGTAACAAGTTCAGCTACAGCTGAAGCTGCATCTTTTCCGCATACTGAAGTACATTTACAGGAAATTGTCTAATGCTCAACCATAGACATATTGCAACTGGCTGACAAGCACTTTACGGATCTTAGAATATATTTGAATAAGGCATTTAGAAGACAAATTTCGCGAGATGATATCATTTCGTAGTTCCTTTGCAACCGCTGTACAACTAAAATAACAATAGTAAAATGAAGTTCATGACAATTACTCAGTTAAATAAAAAACAAAACATATACCCAATGCCCAAATTTTTTCAAACTGTTAAAAGTGAACTTGGTTTGGATATATATTAAAAGTACATAGTAATGACCAATCATATTTAAATAGGTCATGTAGTCCACCGTAGGCGAAGATTGAAGTCTATTGTTTTTTGTACACACAGTTTAGGCTGTATGTGATTAATCCAAAGTGCTTCCATCACCTTCAATAACCTTGAATTAGAGTTATATGAAATAATTGTGAAACAGTCATCAATATTGATTTTGTGACCTCACATTAATAAGTGTTTTGCAATGGATGATGCTGGATTTCTATTCAGATTACTCGCATTGGGATTTTCTATATGTTTTAGTAACCATTCTGGAACATGTTCTTTTCGACGACATTGGAACATTCTGTTGGTTCTACGTATATAGGTGTCCCCGCAGCTGCAGGTGAACTTGTAGATACAGTTTGAAGTAGAGTCCACAGAATTTCGTCCTTTAATCATAGGTACAGGAATCGAAAATGTTCGGCAAGTGAGAAAAAGAGATGCGGCGTAGAATGTGCGTTTGATGGCTGGCCGGAGTCTTTGAGCTGTCAACTGCATAATCTGATCACCCTTGAATGGTAGGTTAATAAAGATAGCTTTCTTTGGTACGGAAGCTGTCTTTTCGAGATGTGGTCTTTCTTTACTGTGACAAGCGATAAAGTTTTCCGGATAACCATTAGCTAATAAAACTGAATGTATATGTCGAAACTCATCCATCACTGTGTCACTCGTGCATATTTTTCGGGCCCTTGAGAACAAACATTTCACTAGGGAACGTTTATACTGGATAGGAACAAAACTGGTAAAATGAAGATATTGTCCACTCCACGTTTGTTTACGAAAAATAGATCTCTGAATCGTACCATCATCTCTCCTGGTCATTGTAATATCGAGGAAACCGAGTTTGTTATTCGATTCGCGTTCGGAAGTCACTCGGATATTTGGATGAATATGATTAAATAGAGTAATAAAGTTTTCAATAGATTTAATATTATTATCAATAATGAGAGTATCATTTACATAACGTTTATTTAGCATAAATTCTCCAAGCATACCTTGCATTTGTTTTTCCAATTTCGACATGAATGTATCTGCTAACAGGGGCCCAAGAGGGCTCCCCATCACAACACCATCGATTTGTTTGTATACCTTTTCTTAGAAGGTGAATCTAATATTTTCTGTACATATTAAGATGATGTCTCTGATTTAAGTGACATGAATCGGTAATTTTATCCCATTGCTTGTGATGTAATCGCAAATGAAATCAAAAGTTTCATGAAGAGGAACATTGGTTAATAATGATTCTGTGTCAGTTGAGCACATAACCTTTTCCCTAATATTGAAGCTGTCTAGCATATCTGTCAGATCAAATGAACTTTTTACAGAATGATTTGATAATGAGTCTCTTACGGGCGTAAGGACATCTGTAATCCATTTTGCGATTTTATGGTATGGAGAATTCGACATGTCTAAGATCTTGGAATATAGTGTTTGTCTACTTGTTTTTCCTCATACTTCTTTCCCTTTTTCTCTTTCTTCTCTTCCTTTTCCCACTATCTATCTACCCTTTTTTCATCTTCTTTTTCGTCATAGTTTTATGTTTTCACCTTTACCAAAGTCGAAATTCACTATTTGTTCCATTTAACCTTCGTATTTCGTGTTGATTGATCATATGTGACATGTCTCTACTGACATGTCAGCTCCTAGTACGGATGTTTCAACAATGTCTTGTGATCAGCATGTTATTATTTGCTGGTCTCCTTCCACCAGATAAATCCTAATTCATTTCAAATTAACCGCTATATATAAATAACACCGAGCTGAACATTACTTGATATGTTCAAAAGCCTTCATATGTTTCATTTAAAAGTTTATTTGTTCTCTTTTTTAAATATTATATATACACACCTTAACACAATCTCCGCTGTAGTTTAAATTTGAGCAAATTATTATTATAGCCAAGATGAAGTTCAGGTTCTCTGTTAACCTGAATTCATTACATTTACGCCTGTAGCATTTCTCTAAGTATTATGACCTCAACAACTCGTGGTTAAATGTGAATTAATTTATTTTCAATCAACAGAATATGGTATTTTTATTATTGACAATCTGTTTTCTATGGTGGGGCTGATATTTTTGGATTACTTTGATAGAGAATAAAAATTTACTTTTAGGTTTTTGTGAGTAGCTTTCAACTGTCAACGCTGCTAACTAATTGGCCTTTTCACCTAGCCTTCCCAAAACTTGTATCTGTCTACCTCCTTTAAATCATTTCATTTCATTTATTATATTTTGAAAAAATATTAGCTGAATGCTAATTTAACATTTTAATTCTCGGAATCAAAATCCTATGGTAGTTCTTGCTTCCATTATCGTAGTAGAAAGTCTATTAATAATAATTATATATATAAGACAAATTTATTTCCGATTTTATTCATTCGTAAAGTAAAACTGCCACGAAATTACTTTGTGTAGACAGAGCTTCCTTGAGAAACCGAAAACCTAATTTTCTCTGTACTTCTTGTTAGTGAATAGTCAATATACAAGTTTCAGTATAATGGCTAACGAGCAAAAAACCGGATTTATTTGTCATTATTAGTGCTGCTATACTTTATATGAGTAGGTAAAGTAAAATGACGTAAAAAACCCTTATGATTGGTTTATCAATGTATTCCTATTTAAACTTAAAATGGACCAATGGAATCTTACCCATTTGCAATAATATAAATATGAAAAATTTAGACCATCTCTAAAGTTTTAGTAATACTCGAAGTATACTTCTACTCTCTAACTGCGAACATGAACTCTACAACATTGCAATTTTCATTTACTTTTTATTATTACGTCCAGTACTTAGGACTATGCCATAATGTTAATGATTCAAATATGCTTGGTAAACCGTTAGTGTTACCACAGACAAAACACCAAATACCCATAATTTGTTTTGCTCTAATTGGTTTTATTCTAAATGCTATTTCATTGTTCGTATTTTTGTTTGGAGAGGTAGCTGTCAACTCGCGATCACATAATACAGGACGTCATCGATTAGTGGAAAATGAGAGCACAAATATAAGCATGCGGATGAGTACAATCAGTAAAAGCACACATCAGACAAAATCACGTAATACAGGACATACAAGAAGTTCATTCATGATAAGTTTAGTATTTTTGTGTGTATGCGAAGTCATCTTCAATCTGGGCTTATTTGTATTCAAACTGGTCCAAGTGCTATCACCGAAATTTGTTCATCAAACACCGAATGATGGATACAGTCACATTCCACCTGATATGATTTTGATTGTATTGCCGGTCATACAAAATCTCCTCATGTTTATTGCAGAGGTAGGTCTTTTTTGTCGAAATTGGTGTGTCTGCTTAATCACAGCAGCTCGTGCTGAAGTTGTTATCTGGCCACTTGGGTCACGTGCCTGGCAAAGGATTTTAAGGAAACCCAAAAGATTTATTCAAATATTCATTCTAATTCTTTTCTTATCAATTATAATAGTTGGTTTGAAACATACAGATTACATAGGTCTTCTGTGTTATGATGATACTATTCATCAGTATGGAATGTGGTCACAAGCTTATATGTTTTCACGTGAATCGTTCTTACTGTATCTGAACTCTGTAGTGTTACCATATCGTGCAGTAATCACCTGGATTCTCATTGTACTGTTTACAGCTATGATTATCATTAGACTACGGCCATGGAGTAAAGAGTCTTTACTACTACAAACCTCAAATTCAAAGTCTTTAGATGATATACCAGCAACACAAGAATGTTCACAAAAAGATGCAATGCGTAAACGTCAGAAGGGGCAAATGAGGGCAACACGTGTTGTTCTTGTTGTTGCTATAGCATTTGGCCTATTGGAGTGTATGAACTTTATGATTGCAATCTGCCAGTCTGCTGGACTTCTCGAAAACGACCATTTAAGTCGACTACTTGAAACCATTGGCAATACCTTGATCACTATTGACTCTATTTGCAATTTTTTCGTGTTCATCTCACTCATGTCCTATTTCCGTCAAATATTTTTACAATTATTCTGTTGCAAAAAAGCAGTAATGACTATACCAGTTACTCAGAAAAGTACATCTTTCTCCTCAGTAACTCAAACAGTAACGGGAAATGATGACCACATCGATAGATTCAATATGAAAGTTTAGTGTGCTTCCCTGGAAAATATAACTTCTAAATACTTTAACTATGATTCAGTGAGAAACCATTTAACTTCTCCAGGGTTATAAACATTTGTATATCACTAAAATAATAACTGTATAATTTTGATGGTTTAATTTCTATTTCTAATCCATTACACTGTCATTCAAAGTCGTTAACATTTGTTGTGAATTACATATTAAACTTTTTGGTTATTGTTCGCATCCACATTTTCCTGTCTTTTTTCTATTATGATTGGTGTAATCACCTTTTCTCTAAACTTCTGTTAATCCTCCATGTGTATTATTTTCATCACTTAATTTTATCAATGTTTGTGATAGATGTTGTTTAAATTTGTGTACAACAAGTTACCTAACAAGTATAAACTGTCTTCTTCTCTTCCTGGCATCAAGTCGATTTGAAATTTCTAGCTGCTCCCTTTTAAATGCTTTGTCATATAACAATAAGTCAACCGTTTAGTTTTTATATACGCTTTCAAAATGCCTACATTAAGGTTAAGTTCACAGAATCACAGCCTCGCTGAAATCTATAACTAACGTTATCCAGAGCTAATTCCGATGTAATTATTTCATTTTACTATGATTTCGCTAACATGCTAAAGCTATATATGGTCTTCCAAGGTTTACTTAAAAATTCCTTCTCACATGATCATTCTATAAACTTGAGTTAAATTGTTCTCTTTGTAGTTCAAACAAGCTAATGAAGTCGTTTGATAGATATCAGCTGCGTTATTCAATCTTGGAATTTTAACTGGAAAGCCTAACTCCTTGTAATCATTATCCTAGATTTTGAATTTCCATCCTTTTCCGATGATATTTTTATGCTTTATTTGCAGCATGATTTCACTGTAGCTCAGGACACCACAATTAGAGGGAGAATGATATGAAAATAAGTAGAGTAATGGCAATAAAGCATCCATTTTAGATAGAATAATATTCACGATACGTTGAATTGCTTATGTTAAATTATAAAAAGATAATCAAATATTTGAAGAGCGAATTTTATTATTGAACACTCATTATTAAGAATTAGGCCTCTTCATCATGTTAATGCATTAACACCTTTGAAGAAACAGAATAAACTGGATCCTCCGTAATATATATATATATATATAATGATATATATGTATAATATAGTGTATATAATATAATATATGTAATAATAATATAATTTAGCTATATGGTAGTGCATTTGCAACAACTAGCCTACAAATCAACTTACATGAAATTTGCTGACACTTTCTAAAACCTTATGTTGGTAAACCAAGTACCATTCTGATAAATGTTAAACTTCGTGTACATTTAAATTGTCTTGTATTGTTAATCTAATGAAGTATGTATCTTTTAAGTGGTAGTGCTTTCTTTCTATTGATTCGCAGTTAATAGCATTCCATTAGTGACCAACAAATTAATAAATTGCGAGAAGCAGAGTAAGTTATATTCTGACAAACTGACAGTTTAACAAGTTGATTGATGCTCGTAACTGAATATGGAAAATTAGTTTTTGAGAGGAAACACTATTAGAATAAGCATATAATACACTAAACCAAGTGAGTGATGTCTCGCCTTCTTTAGGTAACTGAGAAACAAGAAACAGTCGCTACCTTTTTGAAATTATATGCCTTATCAGCATTATCAATACTCCCACGAATAAGTTCATGGATTCATGTTAATGGCTATTTTAAGAAGTGGGATAAAATGAGTCAAGCTGAAAAAGAATAATTTCTTCTTTGTAAATGGGTCGTCGCCTTTCTAGAATAGTTCAATATCTTTCCTGACCAAAAGTCTTTAACAAAATACAATTAGTTTATTTGACATTTTTTCGGGATCCGTTGATAACGTTTTTTCAGCAGTAAACAGGTAATCTATGCTGCTTCACTGGAATTGTCAAATATTATTTTTGAGACAGCATACTGTAATACATCATCTGACCATGAAATTGTGAAGTGAGCTTCTGTGTTCATTTTTTCGCCTTCTTTTCAAGTCCAAAATATCAGGTGTTCTTGAAAAGAAATGTCTGAGAAACCAGACAATCTCTATTCCATTTTAGGTAATCGTTAGTTTTTCTTGCATATGGTAGATTTTCATAGTTCATTTATACATATGTATATATATAACCTTTAAAGATGAGTGGTTTTGCTGTCTTATGAGTCTAAGGACATGACCACTTATTTCAATAATTTGAATTTTATTAACCACTTTATTAAAAATGGATAAATTGTAAATCATTAAAATGAAATAAGTAAACGATGTCAACGATAAAATTCGAAAATTTCTCTTGAAGTGAAATTTGTTCGCGCTTTCTTACAAAAGCAACAGCCATTTCGCTCGTTTCCATTGTTTAATTCGGGAGAGAACGCAAATAAGACTGCACAAGTCGCCATGGTGTCTCTCTCCGTGAGTCTTTTTTAGTACAAACAAACACTTATTCTGAGTAAGATGGTAAAGTTCATGCAAAAATAACATTAATTTTAGTGATATAAAGAAAGGATGAGGCAGAAAATACACTGGCGACATTTTGTTTAGGACAAATATTGATTGTTGATAATTTCCGTAGTCGTGAAGAATCCGCAGATAAGTACATTGATGCTTCAATAGGGGATGAATAAATGATCGAAGTTGTTACCATCAAAAATTATTCTCGAGGATTTCATTCTCACGATTCGAAAAATGCAAAATTTATAAGATAATGATCGATTATCAAGCGTGTAGTTGTGAATAATATGTAACAAAGTCAAAGTAAAATCTTTTCCTTTTTTATACAGATCTTAGAATTATCAACAATTTGTTTATAAAATTGACTGTCATAAGTGGATTTTATGTCGTGCAAAGATGTAAAAATTTCGAATAAGATCATCAAGGTATTACCTGGTATAGTCCAACTGTTTGTCAGAACAACACCTGGAAATACTTCTTATATAAATCTGGAATTATACTTTCAACTGTCAAGAGTATGAAGGTAAACCTACCAAAGCTCTTTAAGCAATAACTTTAGTAAATTGTATTCCTTTCTTGTTTATAAAAAATCACTGCAATTACTAACAGTATATGTGAGTGAGAGTTGCGAAAATTTCTTGCTTTCTTTGGATATGTATGTATTTAAGTATGTGTTTTATGTGCCATTACTCATAAGTCAAACAACATTTTTCCAAAGTTAGATTGGCTTTCCATGAATGCTGTAAAACCTGCAGTTAACGAAAATACAATACAAACAGTGTAGTTCATTCAAATTGTGGCCAGTAAGGTATGATAAAAGCCACTATCAGCAGTTATCATACGTAGATGTTCTTTCCAGTCTTAAAAGCCAGCAATGATTGTTTGTTACTAATGAATGCCACGGTAAAGATTTTAGTCAGCATAACTGTACACAACTTATATTTATCAGATCGTTCTTTTGTCATTGCAGGATCATGTAACGTTGTTTATACTTTTTACGCATCCTATTTTGCAGCAGTTCATAATTCCAACCCTCAAGGATGAGCGTTGACACGGAGTAGGACATTTTAAGTACATCAAAGTAGACTTCATTACTTTCAGACTCTCAAAACATATGACGAAAAATAATTGAGTATTCTGAAAGCCAGTTGCACAGAATGCACAAATATTATGGTTTAAAAAAATCTAGTTTATATATGGAAGCTTCTATTATCACGCTCAATTACAAACAACACTAAATGAGATTTTCAAAATTGTTTTTGGTCGAAAGAATATGAAGCAATTGGCGGATAATTTATCATAAGAAAATAACTGAAAAATTCAGTCAGAAACAACAGATATTGTAGATTTACTGCTTTAGAATTTCGGACCAATGATACTTAACGTATTTAACACTACAGTACACGTAAAATAAGGCCGCGGAGTCTCAGGTCTCTCAGCATTATAACTGAACAAGTGTCTGGATGTTCTTCAGTCAGTATATTTAAATATGTATGGTTTTTGCCTCAATAGCACGTGAGATTCAAAAGAAAAAATCAAACTCTCTCACAACTATGTTTCCACCTAAAACACGGTTTTCAACGCTAAATAAGCCTACAGGCAATACTCTAAGTATAAAGTGAAACAGATTTAGACACATTTTTCAATTCAATACATCTTTGTCCGTAATTCCTTTGTCTCTAAAAATTGCAATTCATCTATCTCTCAGATCAATAGAGAAAAGCTGATCAAATAAATTCAACCTTTTGAAGACTGATACTGTTTCAAACACGCTGTTCAAATTATCCTCTGGAATTTTGTTATTATAATTTGAATCTATTGTCTACACTATCTGTCTCGGGCAAAGAAAGCAAAATTATATCTCAATATGAAGCTATGGCAAAGTATTACACAACAACTTGATAAGCAATATTCCAAAATCTTGATACATCAGAAAACAAAACACGTTATAACGAAGTAGGAAAACGTTGAAGTTTCGTTCCTTTCTGGTGTATAGAAAATAACATTATTCTTCGGGAAGCAGGTGTGTAAACATATGATTTCGTATATTCTTCTCGTGCATGAATTTCAATGGAAAGAGAAGAATAAATGAAACTAAATAACGTGTACTTATTCATTTTAAAGATTCTATTCCAATGCATAAAATAGAAAATATTCAAAAATATGTATGCGTGGTAAAGTGAACAAAATATCAGGTTGACAGAAAAATATTGATTTGAAAAACAGATAACAGAGCGATGAAAAGTACTGAAGTTTTGATGTATCTGCTAAGATATTCATTCAGATTGACTGTATATGAAGGGAATGAGTGAACATTTTGTACGGACCAACGTTTAGGAAATATATGGTAGCAGTGATTTAGAGAGCTGTCATGGAGAACGTCATAAATAATATCAGCATAATAAATGCATTGACAGATATATATCACCTAAAGGATGAAGGAGAACAGAACTCAAGAAATAAAACTAGGTTCTGTTATGAATAAAAAACAGCAAAAGTAAGGGACATTTACGCCTTATAAGACGCTAAAATTACACAATCTAAAGTCCAAA